TTCCATCCTGTTCCCCTGTCTAATCTAAGTTTGCCATCTGTGGTCACAGAGGAAGTTAAACAGTCAGGGATTTAGGCAGCCTCTTGCTATGTCTAGAGCAGAAGAGACAAGTGCCTGAAGCATTTACCTGTCCCTGTCTTCAGATGAAACTTGGTTTTTGGAATGCTTAAGCCAAAGTGGGCCAGAGAGCAGAAGGCAGAAGCAAGAACTGCTGCAGCCGAGGCAACCAGTGTGTCCCTCTTGATGCCCTTTCACTCCACTGCCTCCCTGCTTGCCATAAAGCAGGGAAAACACTTGTTTCTCTGAAATCCATAAGAATGACATGGAGCTATCGGAGCAGCAAGGAGGGGCACAAGGATGATCAGAGGGCTGAAGCAGGCTGAAAACAAGCTGAGAAAGTTGGGGCTGTTCGCCTGGAGAAGAGAAGGCTGCATGGAGACCTAATAGCAGCCTTCCAATATTTGAAGGGGGGCTACAAGGATGCTGGAGAGGGACTCTTCATTAGAAACTGTAGCGACAGGACAAGGGGGAAAGGGTTTAAACTTAAACAGGGGAAGTTCAGGTTAGATATAAGGAAGAAGTTTTTTACTGTAAGGGTGGTGAGGCACTGGAACAGGTTTCCCAAAGAAGTGATAAATGCTCCACCCCCAGCAGTATTCAAGGCCAGATTGGACAGTCTTGGGCGATGTGGTCTAGTGTGGGGTGTCCCTGCCCATGGCAGGGAGGTTGGAACTAGATTATCTTAAGGTCATTTCCAACCCTAACTATTCGATGATTTGATGATTCTATGACTCCTTTTTTGTCCAAAATAAAACACATTCAGCCTCACTCTGCCTTGGAAACAAAAAACCCAGGAGTAAAGAGCTGTTTTCACATCTGCCTCCTTTGATCCTTTTAAGGCTGCCAACAAAGTTGCCACTTGGCATCTATAACTGTATTGACCTCTCTAATGTGAACCCCATCCCACAGGGAAGCAGCCTGAGACACCTCATGCCGTTTTTCGGAGGCCATTTTGTTGCTATAGTGACACAGTGATACTAACCTAGACCACAGATAGCTGGAGGTGAACCCTTCCAAGCCACAGGAACAAGTAAGTGTCTGCAGAGGTGAGCGATGTTACTTGTGACCGAGATGTTATATTCCCTAGTTTCACTGTTTTGCTTGCTTTCCTGCATGATTAACAGCAAAGCCACAAAAGATCAATCCTATATATGAGGTTAAAGAATTTACAGATTTTTGTTATAAGGCTGCTCATGCATTGCAGTTAAGGAGTAACTCCTAGCTGTACAGATAAATCTAGTGCTTGGGAAAGTCAAAAATATGCCACAGACTATTATTTTACTGACTTCTCCACCCAAACCCACCAGTGACAACTTGCTTTATGGTCTTCTTCTTCTCTAAGGATGTGTGTGCCTACCGTGTCACTGAAACAGTTTTGTCTGGGCTGCAAAGAGAAAGAACAGCCCTTTAATCCCTGTTATTCTTTAGATATAAGCAGCCATGTCAACCACAAATGCTAGTAAGAACAATAACAGGAATTACTGTCTATGTCAATACAAGATGCTAAGGGCAGGAAAGTGGAGGTCTTTTGAAGAGCAGAAGCTTGACCTAGAGCAGGAAATAGAATGCAACACTAGCAGGGGACAATCAGCTCCTGCCTGACGAGTCTTCTGCACACTCAGAATCCTGAATCCTCAATCCTTCCACAGCCTCTACTGTCACTGGCACCCTCAATACAACTAAAGCACTATGGATAATGTATTATCCATTGAAGGAAGGGAACCAAATGTTTCTGAGATTGACAATCTATTTTATGCTTCTTTTATTGCTAGCATGTTGCTATTTCCAACACTACACATGTATAATTTTGCAAAAGATAACCAGAACTTCAAACAGAAGCCAGAAGCTCCAACATTGCCTTAGGACAGCGAATTAGCTGTCCTCAGTGAGCTCTGAACACTCAGCAGAGGTGAGGTAGTGGCCAGGGACTGGAACAGGAAAACCCAGAAAATGACAAAAATTCATGATGCTGCTTTTGAATTGCAGACTTTGTGACATGACAGTTTTCGTGCAGTCAGTGCCAGCTGAGGAATCTGAAAGCCACTCATCAGCTAAACCTGCCCTAACAAAAGGTGCAGGTTTCATACTAATTTGTAATTCAACACAGCAGTTCCGGGTGTTTGTTTTTTTTGCATTTATTTTTAAATCATCTGGAAGAAGGATCTATTCAGTGGAAAAAATATACAATGTGAAATTGATTAGCATCAATTGAGTTTGAGCCTCAGCGCAGCGCTGATACTTTTAAATGCATGCGACATGTCATAGTTCTGCACTGCTTGCTGTATGCAGAAAAAAAATTAAAGAGGGACTGTCCTGGGTTTATGTCCATTAATGGAAAACAGATAAGAGGTAGTTATGCACCTCATACTGCTGTTGGGCTTCATAGGGAACACTGTATACACAGGAGGAGACAGCATTGTGAAATGGCACATGAAATGCAGTAGGACTGGCTAATGACTCAAAGATTTTTTTTTTTTGGAATATGCAATTTCCATACAAGATTTCCAAGGTTTTAAAAGCTTTAGCTTTCTATTTGCATAGGCATGTTTCCAGGCTCCAAAATGCCTTTCCAAACAGACTCAGTTCTGAAACTGGATGTGGGAATGAGTAGTGAAGCCAAAACCACAACCACAGTTAATGACTATTATCTCTTTGGAATTAAGAAATAAATATTCTGTGGGATCCTGCAAGAAAACCACACTTTAACAGTCCTGCTAGCAGCAATTCTCCCATGCATATGCTTTTGTCTTTGAATGGTAGATATTACCAGAGTGATGCAGAACAAGATTTATCTACCACTCTACCGCTTCCATCACTATTTGCTTCTTGCTCTGGGTTCCTATCCTCTAGGCACTGCATCACCTGTGTGTGATGGGGAATTCAAGCAGATGGAAAAATCTGACACATGATCTGTAAAAAGTGCTGGGGGGCTGGGGGGGGAGACAGGGGGAATGACTGGTGCCTCTCCTTACTTAGGCATCATGACTTCTGTATGAGAAGTTGGCCACTGGGTCTGCATCTGTGGTCAGTCCATGGTGTCTAGTCCCTGTGAGCCTGGAGCAGAGGGAAGGTGCACAGAAAAAGTTTGCAGCAAAGAGACTGATGACCCCAGGTAGTGTTCTCACATCATACTTCCTTTGCCTTGTACAGGTAATATGCAGATCTCCTTCCTCTGTCTTCAGAGAGGATAGATTTGTTTTGTACAGAAACTCAAGACAGCAGATGTTGCTACTTGCAGATACGTGAAGAAACAGAGGAGTGTAAATTCTACATCAGAGGAACAAATGTGTTGCTGCCCTTCCAGTGATGAAACATGAACTTTGTTCCATTTATGATTCTTGCATTGTCTCACTGATGTTCCCAGGGAAAAAAAAATGCACGCTACATCCTGTGTAAATACAAACTAATGGCTATAGGCTGAGTCATCCTACACAGAAAATTCTCAGATCAGTAGTTTGGATGGAAATTCTGCAAACACAAGCTCAAACAGTTTTTGTTAAGTCATTTCTCAGATAGGCAGTAGAGTTGCAGATGTTGTTTATCAAGGCAGATAAAAGATTAATTCCTCCAAACCCAAGGATGCACTAATATCAGTGGAAGAAATCTTTAACATCAGTGTTCCTTTAGAAAGTAAGGGAATTTCCATTCGAGTACATTCCTAGGCTAATTCCCATGCATCTACCCTCTTCAGGCAAGAAAAACACCACCCCTACATAATACATTCAGATGTCCTCTACATGCTGAGGTCTGTATAGGTTCAAGAAAATGCTTTCTCAACCAGAAAGGCTTCAAGGAAAGGAAGCCTGAAACACATTCAGCACAAGCTAGTGGTGTCATTCTGACTTATTTGCACTCTGAAATGGGCTACTCCTCAGAGGGAAAAAATACAACACTGTCATTCCCTCCACAGAAAGGTATAATTGGATAATCTGGACATGTGGTGCAACTAATTTACTTATTTTCAAAAGATGCCTCAAGTTATGACTACTATAATTTCTGTTCTGGATTACAGAAATGCAGATCTCACGCCTCCTAGTGCTGTTTAAAGTCTTACCTTAGATTTCAGTGAGCTTTGATCAGGTCCATATAAAACTAAGACACTTTGGAATCACTGCACAAGTATCAACTAACAGTCTGCAACAGCAGAACTACATTGGCCCACTTTAGAATGACTGTAAGGAAGAGCACCTGCAGAAGAAACCTGGCTGCTATTAGCTTTGAAAAGGAACATCTGAGAAATAAAAAAATGCCAGAAAATGTGCCTATTAGGGGACAGATCCACATCTTGTTTCAACTGAATTAATTGAAGAAAATAAAGCTATATTAATTTTAAACAGCAAGGAACTGGCCTCTTCTTTTTTTTTTTTTTTTAATTGATATGGACTCATCTAAATCTTGAACTGCCATTTGGATAAAACCTTAGGAAGTACTGCCTTCCCCTTTTCATTATTTTTTTGGTCTACATTAGATAAAGTAGGGGACCTTTCAGCCAATCCAGTAATAGAGGAAATTTCCAGATGAACATTATTAATAAGAGATGGGATTTTCAATTATAATTTTACTAGGAACACAAGTCCTATAAAAAAAAAAAATATGGACAAACAGTATCCAGTGAGCTCCCAGTGTCTTCTGGAATTCCTCAGAATAAGTTTTCACAAGATCATTTTTTTAAAAAGTCCAGGACTTTTACCAAAATTCAGTTTGGCTGATAATTTAATGGGAAACAAGCTCCACTGAGCAGAACTCTGTCTGTCAACACATTGACCTTCTACACTTCGTTTGCATTGTCCTGGAATGTCTGGACATACAGCACTGTAGGGAAAATAAATACTGAACATTATTTTATATAAGCAAGACAATGCTCACCTAAAGCTTTTGCGCAAAACTCAGGTAAAGAGACTTACCAAAGTGGTGTGGGTTTTTTTTGTAAAATATTATTTTTGTTGCCTAAAAAGTCAAAAAATGACTTTTCCCACTTGTATAACAATAAGGTTTGATAGGTAGAATGTATGAAATATACAGTAGCTTCTTCTGAAAGCTACCTAAGTTCACTCATCTTACAGTATGTGGAATGTAATAATCCAGAAAGAGAAATATGTATAAAAATAGGTAAAATTACTACAATATTTGTATTGAATTATAATTCCTCCTGACAGGAAGGTTACAACAGGTCTACAGTATATGTATGAAATGTTTGTTCATAAAGTTAAAAAACATCATTACCTTACTGAAGAACACATTAAATGTAGGAATGCATAATCAGAACTGACTCTCAATTCTGCTTAGCTGGTGCAAATCTACAGAGAACCATTATCCTTTCTGCACAAAACAAAACCAACCTCCAATTTGAGAGTTGGGATTTTTCTCTGTTTTGTTTGTTGTTTGCCATAGAGGGGCTAGACTGAAGTTTATGAAAGAAATTCCTCTGGAAGTGGAAGTATGTTGTTTAATTTGTTTTTCCCTATCTCCACTTTGTTACTGACAACAACCACCCACCTTTTTAAATGATTATTGCCTGACATTACATGGAGCTTTCACTGCTTGTTCAGAGCATGGCAGTGAAACAGAAAGAACCTCTAGCTCCCCTGTCATGACCCATTTCTGGGCTTGTGCTTTTTTGACAAGTCTTTGATCTGCAGCAGGCCTCATAGGCTAGTCTCCCGGAGAAACATGGTGCCAATGTTGTAAGAAACCTTTCTCATTCTGGCAGATGAGATGGAGGGTTTTGGCGGCTTCTGACCACTTCTGACCTCGAGGAAGTAACAGATCCCAGGAATTTCCTTTGGAAAGTTTTCTGGAAGCTCTTCACGGGAACGAGGGATGAAAACAAAATTTTCTTCCTTTTTCAAAAGCCTGGAAAAAAACAACCAGACAAAAGGACATAAAACCTGTAAACCACAGTAAAGAAACATCTCTCTGGAAGAGACTGATCCTATGCATTCCTAAGTTAAAAATTACTTGAAAGTATTATGTTACACCCAAAAAAGCCTCAGGATCCTTGGCTGATACATATTAACTTAGCATCATCAACTTCAAGGAGCTTTGTTGACTGAGATAAGCTAAGGATATGGCCCAGATAACCACACTCTCTGAAAATCAGTGTTAGGATTCAGAAAGTCGTATATCAGAAAGGGAATCAAATTCATAATATTTTTTTATCCATAATGTGTCATTTGGCTCAGTTAAAACACACCAGTCTTGCTAGATGTGCAGAAATCAACATTTCAGGGTGATGACTATCACCAGGTCTCCTGCTGGAAAGAAGGTATGAAGGTGACAGTCTCACAGGTGGTCACTTTGTGCCCTTCTTGGACTCAGTAGTATTGTATTTCATAAATTAGTTTCAAACACAGCAAATACACCTTCAGTAAAACCCAGAATTAAATCTGACACTATTCATCAGAGGTACCCAGGGGTTTAATCTGGGACTCCCGGTTGGGGTCAAAAAGGGATACAGGTTCACAGGAGCCATGAAGCAATGAAGTGTCTGGCTAGATCTGGACTTGCAAAATAAAGAAAATGACTCTATACGTTTTCTTTTTGTTTCCAGTAAATTGAATAGGCATACTCAATCCCTTGCAGCATTGAAAAGAGCAGTTTTTAGGTAATGGAAATTCTGATATACAAAATATTCTTCGTATTTTCCATTCCCAAGACATTTATTCTTTCTCTCAATCAATTTGAAGATCAAAAGCATCAGTGGGAAGATCTTCATTAGCTTCAGTGGATTTTGCAATACGTTGCTTATTTAATGTCTCAAAAGATTACTTCTGGAAAGTAAATGAATGAATGAATCCTGTTGCCAGCCAAATTTTCCAGGATTCTCAGTTCATCTACAGGCACTTCTTTACTGAATGTTTTTCATGGGTTTTGGCTGAGACAGTCTGTGTGAGCTCATTGAAATATAAAGTCATTTTCTTCCCAGTCTTTAAATAATGTTAGTTACAAATCCAACAATGTTTCTGCCTTTGAACTTCTGTGGAGGTCTTTGTTTAGCATGCAGTTTGAATGTCATAATCTATTTATGATGAAAATATTGTAATCTTTTCTAAATTGCATGACAGTTTGTGCAGGCCTCTACAGAGAAGCTTCTCTTATTTCTTCTCTGCAATACTTGCAGTAAATATTTTGAGTTTTAAAACTGCAGGCTTAATAAAGTGAAATAACTCTTTGATGCTTCCCAAATTAGTTTTCTGCAAGCAACAGTTGAACTTTTACAACTTTCTGCAGTAAATCTGCAAGCTTTTGCAGTAGTCATTCTTCTTCAAACTGACTCTTCGCTATGGAGCATCTGGCCTTGCTAAAAATCAATGGTTTCCTTCTCAGAGCCTAACGTTACCTAATTGTAATGATAGTTACACAAGTCTGAAACTGTAAAATATAGATATATTCTTTGATTCAGTTCAGGGCTGGCACTGAGTTTAGTTGATATTTCACAGTATTTGCCTCATGGAACAAAAGTGCAAGATATTAACTAAAGGTCTTATATTCACTTGTTTTGTGAATTTTAAGTTGGTTGCAATTAAATGCTCCAGGAGGGATGCGTGAGTAAGCAAATACTCCTTTGGAAATCCCTCCACTACTGTGACTTGTGGTAGAATCCACATTCCTATATTAGGTATATTGTTTGAATCAGCCTCATACCATAAGAAATTGTCCAGTCAAACTTTACTGGGATAACAAGCTACCAAGCAAGCATGACAGGAAACCTTCTTTACCAAATGCTAATGGAAGCTGCTTATGATCTATCCTACTAACTTTAGCTTATAGTTTTAACAAAAAAAAATAATTTGCTATCTCTTGTAATATCACTATTAGAAAGACTTTAATCAGGACAAAAATGGCCTCTTGTTAACACTCTCCTAAAGAACAAATTCTTCAGATTCCTTAAATATATTGGTCCTGATATTTGGTTTCCTAGGTTGAGAAAGAGGTAATGGCTCAGATTTCTTATAGCTTTGTGTACGCTACAGAAATAAGTTATCTGCTAATCCTCAGTGCATAGCAGTGAGGACATTTTTTTGCAGGAACCTTCCTTCCTAAATTTAGATCAATTGTTAGGTTAAAAAAGAGAGTAGCAGTGGATGGCCAAGGCCCAGATCAACAGCTCTTGCTAAGTTTCTTGTCCTTTTCAGGGGTGCAAAGAATCACAGATACCTCTGCCAAGGAGCTGAATGAATAATGCACATTCTCAGTGAAGGCAAGGCTGAGCCACGCAGTTTTATTATTACCCCTCTGGCTCAGGGGAAGAGCCAGTACAAAACCTTCTGGTCTGGAAGGTTTCCTGGGTGGTGGCACCCCGTTCTGGCGGTTTGCCTCACCCTGCAGACCATTATCAGCATACTTTGTTGTGATGAAGTCGGATTGCCTGTTTTGAAAGTCTGAGACAGTAATCTATCCTTTACCTTGAGGAAATTTTATGGTAGCTTAAACTCTACATAATGTCCCTAGATTGTCCTATAGTTGTAGAGCTTAAGCCGTAGTTACACAACCTCCACAGTTCAGCAATATGCATATAAAAACTATTTGGAAAATATTGCCATTTATATCAGCTGTATTTCCTGCATCAGTTCTGTGGATTTCCCTTACAGCACTATTGTAAAGGATATCCTTATAGTAGGTTATTCAAAGGCTCAAAATTCTGTGTACCACTCAAGTGGTTGGATATACAATTTACAATTCAGTGCTTACATTGTGAGGATCGGGATACCTAAGCATTCCTATAAGTTGTCTGGAACTACATCTGCCCTCAGCTTGTCTTCTTTGTTGAAGTTTCAGGAAAATAATTTCTTAAAGCTGATTTATTGTTAACACCTTTCCTCCTAATCCAAAACCTTCCAGAACTGTTTAAATTCTTGTTCTGTCCCTTCCCTGGTGGAAATACTGGAGCTTTTAGACAAAAAGAAATGGTATCTGAGAATTATCCCACTTCTTTTATCATTTTCAGTTTGTTCATTTAAAAAAAAAAAAAAAAAGCGTTAGTACAGAAACAGAAAATGTGGCTATTTTCTAGTGGAAAAAAGAAGCATTTCAAGGTCAAGAGGTCTGTGCATGAGTGAAAATTGGGATCATAGTGGGAATCTTGAAGAAGCTTTTAAAAGCTGTAGCTCATTTTTGCATGGGTGGGATGATAGGTAATTTTATTTCAGACTATTTTGGCAAGAAACAGTCACATCTACAACACTGAGTTCCTATATTCAGAAAATGAACTAACAAAGACTTGTTGTTGAAGAATAATTTATTGCAAGGACGTCTATGCTGAATGCATGCTTTCCACACTATTCTTGCTCTGTCCATGCCCATTGGAAAGCAGTAGACCACTTTCTCTCTCCATCTCTCAGAGATGTCAGAACTTTGTGGTTATCACTGGATGCTGTGAAGATTAACTAAAACTCACACACAGAAAGTATTCTCAGACTCAGTAGAAAGGATGGTTGCAAATATCTTACGAATTCTTTTGTGAAAGTGGGCTAACTTCCTCCATCTTTTCCCAAACAAGATGCAATCACAAATTGGATCTGTTGAAAGGGAGGAACAAGACAGTAAGAGGAGCAGCTTCTTAGCAGCCTGCAGTAGCAACTCCATCGGAAATACGAAAAAGTCAATATAGTTTGAGAACTGTATTTTCACTGCTGAAGGAATAAATGATTACCACATGTGCTTATTCAGTTCCAGCACCCGTGCTGAGGAAGCATTCACCAAGCTTCAGCATGCTCCAATAGCCGGAGTTACACCATGAGGGCTTCAGAGAACATGTTGCCTGAACAGTGCCTGGAAACCTTTGAAACCTCCTCCCCACTGCTGTGACTAGAGCTTGCTGGACATGGCTACCACAGGTTGCCACATGCCTGCAAAATCTGCAAATCACACCAAATGCCATCAGATTTCTCCAGCCGCAGAAGCCCAGCACAGTGTGTAGTTTGGAGTGCTCAGGGGCCTGCCTTTTCTCTTGCCCTTAACATCAGGTTTGTTTTAAAGGCCACCTTCAGGCCATGCAGTCAGGCAAAATCTTTCCAGAATCCACAGATAGTAAGGAGGAAGCAACTGATCCCTGTGGTGATGCTTCCTGTCCTCAGTCAGGGTCCTCCTCTTGCTTGCCAACCTTGCCACTTGCTGTCACCTGACTGTAGGAGCAGTTCAGGAGCATCAGCTTCCCCAGAACGAAGTGAAGGTATCTCCATCTGCACAGGTTGCTCCCTTCTGTCTTCCTCAAGCCCTCCACAACATGTACCTTCTACCACAGTTCCTAAGTGCCATAAACATACATATATATGTATATAAAATATGTATTATATAATAAACTTCAAAACCATGTTCATATCTAATTAGATATGAAACATGACAATTACAGCATTTGCTGCTTCAATAAACAGTGTAACATAATTATTATATTCAAGTAAGATTTTAACAAGAGCTAAATACTTATTCAGCTTTGTGTTTGCATATATACATTTTAACCTCTGTATAATGAAGTTCCACATACCTTAAATAATAGTCACGTTATGATGGGATTTGGCAATTTGCTGAATCTGAGTTAAAAAAGCACCCACTCAGAATTGAACTTCAATGCAAACTTCTTTCAGGAAAATTGTTTTCTATAGACAATTTGAACAGTATTTCTGAAAGAAATACAATGCACTTCAATAAAGGAGCACATGCACTGCCTTCCTAATTACAGTGTGCACCAAGAAAAGCAAACTGGCCAGATCAATCTTCTATAAATATTACCTTTCACAGGGATAGCTATCAACAGAAAAAAGTTTCTTTCCACCCTAACTCTTAAAGAACTGTGAAAACTGTAGCTAACCATGTTCACATGCACCTATTAATTGGTAAAATTAGGAAAATTTAATGAATGGCTTCCCAGATGGGTTATACAAATTCTGTCTCCTGATGGACTGCTGAGCCCTTCCTCTGTGGCAACAAGCATTGGCCACTTCACCAGCTGGCCATCTAGTTTGATAGCATACAGCAGCTCATTTCTTTTCATACGAATTCAGGTTATAATTATTATGGCATTCATTAGAAAAATTGGTAGGCTGCTCATAAAATACACTGTATAAAGGTACAAATATGCTATTGTAATGCCAAAAATCAGTGCACTTCTTTCTAAATCTAGTAGCTTTGAATCTTTCCCTGTTTCAATACAAACCAGAAAGATCAGGAGACTGAAAAAACCCTGACTATGTCTCAATCTAATTAATATCAGATTGCACTTTATATTTTTTTAAAGTATGGAAGTTCATATATTGGTGTTTTTCTTCATACACATCAATTGTAATAAGATTATGAAAGGACTAGGTATGACATTTTTAATGCAATGCATTGTTTATCAAATGCAGCTCAGTACGGTGGATGTCAATCAGTGACTTTTAATACCTTTAATAAAACTTCTTCCATACAACATTCTGTGAGATAACAGTTTAAAAACTTATTCAAAATTCTGCAGGTTTTGATCAGTTTTAAAAGCTGAGGGGCAATTTTTGCAGATAAACCAGCAGTGACTTCACCCAGCTCAATAAGAAGGTACGCTTGGTTGCTTTCTCTACTATATCACATAAGGATGTAGGACATAGGCTGTTCATTGTTGCCTAAGCTCAGGACCCAGGTTTATTGCCCAGAATGTAATAATGGAAAATATCTGCACCCAACACTTGATGCCAGAAAGCACCTTCTCCACAAGGGAAATACATGCTGGAAAAGACCAGAGACGGAAAGAAGAAGAAGAAGAGAATTCATTTTAAATACAGTTACTTGACAAACAGCAACAATTACGTTTACCTGCTTTTGATAACTGCTTAGAGATCCCAAGACATTACATAGTAATGCTATTAGGGAAACAGGATGAATGTAGGTACATTATATTAATATCTGATAAAAATCATTATTTAGGCTGAAACAAATAATTTTAAAATAGTTAATCTCTCTTCTGTGCTAAAGAAGAGTCTCATGAATCTCACTGTCCTTACTTCCTGAGTACGGAAAATAGTGCAATTTTATTAAATTCAGATTAATTAAATAAACCTTGAGCTGAATTTGCCAGTTTGCTAAAGGAACAGAGAATGTTTTATTCTTCTGTTATTCCTTCCCAGCCACGTGTTTAAACTGGGACCAGTCTGAGATCCTCCACTTCCTCTCCAGTTTCCATGTTTCAGTGGAAGTTTTACCAGTGCTGTTCCAGTGCTTTCATTTTACGATGCTCAGTGATTCAAAGCAATTGGGGCTCTGTAATCCTTCAATCAAAAGACCTGTCTGAGTCAGGAGAACAAGATATTGTGAACCGAAGTTAGCTCTTATCCCCAACAGCTTCAAAGGCTACCTCTGTAAAAGGTGCTGTTTCACACCGCAGAGCTCTGCCCAGGCAGGTGTAACTAGAGAAAGGCTGCCCCAGGTTCACTGCTGCTGCTAGGCAACATCAAATCTTATATTTATAATTTTAGACTCTGATTCTTACATAGGCTGATTATGGGCTCACAAGGAAGTGTCTGAAACCAATGATAGGCATTCTGAAGTGCCATTATAATTTGAAAGCCGATGATGTCTTATAATGCATAATCTGTACTGTAAAATGAAAATATTGATAAGTATTAGATGTGTTCCCAGTAACTGCATGCTTTGTAAGCACAAAACCTTATATCACAGTTTGCATCGGGACCATGGTAGACACAAACACATACTGATAAATGCCAATAGGTAATTGAAAATTCTGTCATTTGCATACTGATTGTAGAATTGTCTACTTTGGAAAACACTGCTTCTTAGATAATAAAAATATTAACTGAGTACACAGCAGCTCAGTATGATCAAATAGAAACATTTGCTGAAATATAAGGTCAACTATAAACACATCTAAGTTTGCAATGAATCATTTTATTTATACACAGGAAATTATACACTCCTACAAATTATATTTAAGCACAGTTACATACAGATGCATGAGATCCTTGTTTATTTAGGTAGTGCATGATGTTCAAACCCTCTAGATCACCCTCAGAAACCCTGAGTAATACTGCACAACTATGACCACTATGTCAGCATGTCAGCAGTGTCATTTCCTGACTTCTTCCCTGTCTGTTCTTATGCTTACAACAATGCCAGGAAGTATGGTTTGAAATAGCCTTTATAAGTCTCCCTATGCACGTTTATTTTATTTTCTTATATAAATTTTGAAGCATGCAAGATAAACTTGTTCCTTGCCTTTTCATTGCTACTTTTAGCCATTCACAGAATCATAGAATGGTTTGGGTTGGAAGGGACCTTAAAGATCATCCACTTCCAACCTCCCTGCTATGGGCAGGGACACCTTCCTTGAGACCAGGTTGCTCAAAGCCCCGTCCAACCTGGCCTTGAACACTGCCAGTGATGGGGCAGCCACAGCTCCTCTGGGCAACTGTGCCCTTATAGTGAAGGATTTCTTCTTTATATCTAATCTAAACTACTCTCTTTCAGTTTAAATCCATTCCCTCTTGTCCTGTCCCTACATGCTCTCATAAAAAGTCCCTCTCAGGATTTCCTGGAGGCCCCTTTAGGCACTGGAAGCTGCTCTAAGGTCCCCCCAGAGCCTTCTCTTCTCCAGACTGAACAAGCCCAACTCTCTCAGCCTGCCTCCAAAGGAGAGTGCTCCAGCCCTTGGATCACCTCCATGGCCTCTTTGGACTTACTCCAACAGGCCTACGTCCTTCTTAGGGCCTTCTTAGGCCCCTTAGGGGGCCTATACGGATGCTGGGGAGGGACCCTTCATTAGAGACTGTAGTGAAAGGATAAGGGGGAATGGGTTAAAACTGAAACAGAAGTTTAGATTGGATATAAGGAAGAAGTTCTTTACTGTGAGGGCAGTGAGGCACTGGAATGGGTTGCCCAGGGAGGTTGTGAATCCTCCATCCCTGGCAGTGTTCAAGGCCAGGTTGGACAGAGCCTTGGGTGATATGATTTAGTGTGAGGTGTCCCTGCCCATGGCAGGGGGGTTGGAACTTGATGATCTTAAGGTCCTTTCCAACCCTAACTATTCTATGATTCTTACGCTGGGGCCCCCATAGCTGGATGCAGGACTGCAGGAGGGGTCACAGGAGCAGAGTAGAGGGAGAGAATTCCCTCCCTCGACCTGCCCAATACTGTGCTGGCTCTGTGTTTCTCTCACACACTAACAGACAATTGTATGAATCTGTTTCTGCCCACTTCATGATTCAGTTTTTCTGCCTCTTGTTTAATTAGCTATACTTGCTCTTTCTGTAAATCTGATCTCAAGTGAATGGTCCTTTCAGAAGAATGTAATTTTATTCACTAATTTGAATTACTTTTAACTTCTGTCTCATTTATATTTCAGCATATCAGACCCTTCCATTCTTGGACGAAGAAATTCCATTTTAAACTTTAATTTACATAGGTATGGGGATAAAATAAATACCGAGATTCACAGTTCTGCATAAAAAAAAAAAAAAATAAGGAAAAGAGGTATTGTCTGAGCAATTGCATGCAGATTAATAAAGAAACAGTCCCGACACCTGAACAAAACCACACATCAGAAAATTACTTCAGATACAGAACACTGGAAAAAAGAGTAAGATTGAGATCTCCTGCCAAAAAAAGTGAGTAAATCAGTAACAATGCAAGCAGCAGAAATTCTAATAGTCAAGCTGTCAAATTTGAACAATAAGGAACACCTCATTTTTATTTAGGAGGTGTTCCTCATAACCAGATTTAATCAAGCCTTGTCTCTGTTTGCATGATTTCTTCAAAGTTCTAGGGCTGGGGCTTTGCCATTTTCTGTCTTTTTTCCTACATTAAAAACATGATTCTATCAAGTGTCTCTTTACAGTGCTACATCAGAAATTTTGTTTTCAAGAATGCATAAATACTCTGAAAGCTTGGCTTCACTGGTAAATTAGACTTTCTTCTGAGCAAATAGGAATACGCTTCCTTCCGTGAACTGCGCCTAGCAAGTGGAACTCAAATCAGTAGGCTAAAGCTGTAATAGTGCATAAAATTATGGTGCCTTAGGAGACATCTCCCGTTTCTTCTGTTACGTGTTATTTTAGGCAGGAATGGTTGGCCTTCCTGTTATGTTTTCTTGCCTTCACTGCCTGACACCTTTGAGCATTCTGATGCAAACCTGCAAACTAAAGACTGACAGCCCCATGCGACACCTCTTTCCAGTTGTCCTGGTGCCCTGATAACTTTCTATGTGATGAGGACAGGGCAAGTTACAAGATCTAACTCAAAGCAGCTTGAAATAAAAAGAGTATGTAAAGGCTAAGAGGACTTACTGGTATGTGGTTGGACTGACATTGATGCGGCGTGGGTGACTTCCTGACTCGAACTTGCTTGCAAGGGTGACATTGTTCCCAAAGAGACAGTAACGTGGCATTCTTACACCAACAACACCAGCCAGCACTGATCCTGAGTGAATGCCTATCCTCATCTGGAAAAACATGAGAAGCATGTCAGTCTGTTTCTCTTGTGCTGGTCAGGGTAATGTCATTAGCACTTTTTGACAAGCCAGTCACAGCAACCCTTTCAAAGAAATAATAAACCAAAGAAGAAAGAGTGAAAGGGAAGAAAACATGCTCTCCCATTCCTCTAGCTTAAATCATATGCAGTTAAAAGAAGAAAAAATGAGGGTTATCTTTTCACTAAAACTATTTCTTCTTCTGTGCATGTTTGCTGAAGACAAACAAAACAGGAATCATAAACAGAATAGGATAAGATCACCAAGAGTTACAGCAATATCAGCCATCAAATTACAGAAATAGATACATTATAGGGGGGCATTTTTGCCACCTCTTCTAACACAGGCTTTAAAGGCTCAAATTTTCTCAAAATGGCAGAAAGACTAGCAAAGTAGAGTTAACGAATATGGTACTTTTATGTTCTTCATACTTTTTTTTCTTCCAAATTACTCACGGTTTAGTGTCTTTCTCACTTTGTCAGACTGAGATAATGCAATGGGGTAAAGATGGTGAAGATTAGGGCACTAATTAATAAAATAATTGAATTTCCCTCAAAATAAGGAGGAATAGCTCCCAGCAAATTAAAAAAAAAAACAACCAAACAAAAAAACAACAAAAACCAAATGTGACAATATAGCAATTATCTGCTGTAACTGTTTGAGATGTGGCAATTACATAGATGTGTAAAGCTTGGAGTCAGCAACCGATTTTCTTTCAGAGTGAAGAAACAGAATTATTCTGCACACATTCTAGCAACCAATTGTGTTTGCAAAGAAAAAAATTTTTACGAATAGAAAGTTTTTTTCTCGTTAACTTTCTAACATTAAAAAAAATGAAAGTAAAATATTTATACCTTCTGAGGATATTCTTACTCATAGCAACTGGACTGCTGCAAAATATGAAATAATGTAAAGAAAATAAATAGCAGCTACTAAAACAGAGGGTCTGAAGGGGTCTGAATGAGTGACTTAACTAATACTATATCAATATTGCCATTTGACATAATTCACAGTTATTGCACTGTGCTTATGTCTTTCAACCCCCATTTTTTAATAACACAATACATACTTACTCTAATACAATTTATTTATTTATTTATTTATGTTAAGGCAAATGCCAGCATTTGATAACCTTGGTGTCCATAAAGTCCTATAAACATGTGGGACTGCACATCATGCCAGTGAATATATTTCTTCCCCTGTGTTCAAGGTTTTTACCATGCAGCTAAGCACCCTTTTCATTTTGTTCCTCTATGTCACAATGGGTATAGAATTATATCTGCTATATGCTAAGCCCATGCCCGACCTAAGAACATGCTCTGTGTTCAGTGCGGTACTACTTACAACATTCTCACAGGCAACATAAAATCTTTACAAAAATGCTGTTAATTACAGACTAGGATTGTCTTCTTTTTTTTTTAATTTGTGAATAAATAACACTTGAATTTAATTGAACTTTCAAACCTTTACTACAATTTGGAAGGCAGCTACTGAAATCCTTCAAATACTCTATCCTATCAGACTGAGAAGCACTCACAAACTTGCTTTGGCTGTGAACATCTGTGCAAACTCATCACACCTACATTATTTTGGTCATGTTTTGGGGCATGAAGATTTCCTGCTTTTGCTACAATGTACATTTAAACTCCATTGCTCATTGCCAGTGAAAAAGGTGATCCTGCAGTCAAGAAGTGATCAAGCAGCCCTTCTGGGTATTAGTGAGGTCTGTACCTGCCTTCAGCAAAAGATTACAAACAGAAGGTCTTGCTCACAGAAAAGCAAGTATGCTGTCAGCTTTTGATAAATAATAAAGAACTCATTTACAATGCCTTGGTTTTAAGAGACTGTAGAACGATCAGTTATTTTGCACACAATTTTAAGAACAGAGTTAATGCTACTTATCTGTTCCACTAATACTGCACATTTATTTAGGAATCATTAAAGAATCACTTGTGACCTCTTCTAAGGTACATTCAACCACATGTGAAGGCCAGATTGAAACTATAAGAAAAAGCACTAGCTATGTTTTGCTGTTGAAAAGTGGAAATGACACTATATATTAGAGTGGAAGGAAAATCTGCTATCAAAAACTATACTATGAAAATAAAATCTATTTTTGCCATATATGTGGTGAAAAGTAAAGTAGTTGCTTGTTTTTCTGCTTTCACTCCTGAAGTGATTCTTTGTAAGTGTCTACATAGTTTTTTATCACTCATTGTTTCAGTGACAGAGGACTTCCCAAGGATTTCCAAATCCATGTGTTTTTCCATATTCTCTGCAGCAAAAGTTTGGGATCTCTTGAAGAACTGCACTCACACAGTAAATACTTTCAAGACCTTTTCTCATGATTTTCTTAAAAAGACACTGGGGAAATGGCCTTTGTGGTTAAGACTTTTCAGGATGTGCCAAAGAAACCAAGGCATTACACTGTCAGACTGGCTAAAAAAAAATGCAATCTGATTTACCACCCTAACAGAAAGTATTTTCCTTTGCAAGTTTAGGTGAATGAAGCTAAAGCCATGCCAGCTGCCATGGAAAAACCGAGGCTAGGAGCAAAAATAAATGGATATTCAAAATTTCATTCAGGAGTACATAGAATCATAGAATTAACTAGGTTGGAAAAGACCTTTAAGACCATCAAGTCCAACCATCTACATACATTAGGTCTTTTGTGACCTCAGTAGGAACGAGACAACTTTTCTATTTACTATAGTGTGTACCTAAAAAGATTTTAAAAAAAACCCTTGGTTTGGCTGAGTACAGAACATTTTGTGTTCTGTAGTTTTTTTGACTATTTTAAAAAATATTCTCCTACAATAAAAAATGCAGATGTTCTCACAAACACAGGTTAAACTACGTACCACATACAGCTGCCAATGAGAGTGTGAAAACTGAAGTTTCCACTGGGTGCAAGAAAACTAATGTGGTTTTCTCATTAAACCATAGCGATAAATGCCTTATACATGACAAAATTACACCACGAATGGCTTGCAATAAAGCCTCACTTCTACTTCATTATATGGTTAGCTAAAAGAAAAAAGCCTGCAACAGTGGTGTTATTGCCATGAAATATTCTATAGTATGTTTTCTTATATTGAGAGTAACCATTATATTGGTTGTGTATTACTTTGTAGGGAAATATGCTTTTCATAAAAATGTCTTTTTAAGATTTTACTTCATCTGCAGATAAATTAGTCTGCCTTTTCCTCACTGAGTTGAAAAGTGTTGTGATAACAGTTTAAGGCCTTTTTTTATGAAGTGAGAAAACGTGTGATCAAATTATTAACAAGACACTTACTGGGATACATCAATATCTCACATTTACTTTGCAGCAAAAGAAAATCTGCCTAGACAACTTAGAACAATAATAACAGTTATACATGTACACTTACAGTTCCCAAGCTCTGTTGTATATGCAGGCCTTATCAATGCTTTCACAGAAAATTTTATTAGTTTAGATAATTAATCAGTAAAGATTACTAATAACATATGAAATGCAAATTACGTGGAACACTAGTGTGCGTTCTTTGTCCATAATAACTATATTATGTCCATAACAACTATAAATATGTGTAACACATTATGCATGTATTAACTATCTTAAATTGAGCAGTTTAATAAAATTTATGCTCTTAATCTGTAACAATGGCTCCTTCATCTGCCCTTAGTTATTTGGCAAAATATAAAAGGGCAGCATACAACTGAGATGTAAAGTTCAGAGACATTATGCATGCAGATGGAAAGACAGCTCTTTGGAAACTATCACAAAGACAAGACTGCCATGACAAAAAAAACAACCAACCAACCAACCAAGGCTAAAACAAAAAAAAACCCCAGAAAATACGAGACCCCCATATTTACAGAACAGTGAAGAGACGGACAAAGGCAAATGACATTTCTAGAGCAGAATATCAGAAGTCACAATGGGAAATGAAACATAAAGCCACATGAATGAAAGGCTTTTTAGATAAAGAGGAAGAACTTGAATTGGCTGCAATAGAAAGATTTAGAGTGGAAAATGACAGGGAGAATAGAGATTAATTAATTTTGTCTTTGCAGCAGCTGCAGTAATAGTAAGGTGAAGAAAAGCTGATGTGAGTGTCAGAAGCACAAAAGAAAAACAGCCTGCACTGATGAATGGAGGCTAAGAGGAAAGACATAGCTATGTGGAAAGGAAAAGAAGCTTCTAAAAATTTTAAAGAAAATGTAGCAGTATTTGGATATTACCTGTAGAATAAGGCACAGGGAGCAGAAATGGCTAAAACCCAGGTGACAGGAAGGATAGCGGTTTTGTATAATAGTAATAGATAAAGAAGGTTCATAGGGAAAGATAAGGAGCACTGGAGCTATGGTCATCCTCTGATGGGGAAACATGCCAGAAATGGCATCAGTGAGAGCTATAGTCCAGACTGGGCTAAGACAGAAAAGTCAGAGTGCTCTGTTCTGTTTTTCTGATGCACTGAATCTTAGAAGAATTGTATGTAACCCCTTTACACCTCCTTATTGCCAAAGCATGATTTTTAATTTTTATAAATAAAAGCGCTGGGGTCTGTTTTTGCTGTGCAGTTTCCATCACTTCCAATAGCCCCAATGGCTTCTTAGGCACGATACTGAAAACAGCATTCTCCCATCAAAATAAAGCCTAATCCAAGTAAGATGAAAGAAAACGCAACATTGAAAACTCACAACCCATCTACACTCACTGTACAGTGAAGACACAAAAATATTTTAGAAAAAGTAAAGGAGTGAAGTGGCGTGCCTGAAGTAAATTTCATCTTTGCTAATTTATTCCTCCACAGTTTTTTCTGTTAACCAGTATGTTCACAATAAGCAGATCCAGTAATTTGCTTTATCTTCAAAGCTCTTAAGATTTTTTTCTTTTGAAACCCTGTTGAAAAATGCATTCTCCTTTCCCTCTCATTTCCCCACATAATTTTCAAGGAAAAAAAACTCTGACATTAAAATGCAAGTGG